AAAAAGCCTTTGACTGGTTGAGACTTAAAATAACTTTTAGGCTTCCATGCTTTCACCAGCAGGAAGTAGACAGTGAAAGCTGAGCATTCTCCAAGGTCATACCCCTCAAAGCCCATCTCAAATGTGGCCAGGAAGGATCATTAACAAGGAAGAACTTCCTAGAGGGCACATCCAAGAGCCATGGAGAACAACAGACAAAGGAGTCCCTCCTGAAACAAAATCAGGGTCTAATCAGGGAACTTCCCCTAGCCCTAGAGGAGGAGGCTTCAATATGCCTGACAGAATTCAGAACCGCTTTGGACCAGTGACTGTTGTACCTCTTCCATGCTTTCCTTTTCTGAATGGGAGTTTGTATTGAGGTTATCCTTTTCTTACTCTACCAATGTGTATTGGATGGGTTTGTGGAGTGCAGATAACTTGTTTTTTTAGTCCATAAGTCACCATAGGAAACCATAGCTGAAGCTGAATGACTTTGCGCTGAATATTGTGACTATGTGGAATTTGGAGTGAGAGTATCCTGTGAAGAGAAACAGGTATTTGGCTTGGAAGGGCAGACTGTGACATACAAGTATGTGTTCTCTCCTTCCTGAACTTGCAGCCAGACTTCACTTCCCAGTAGGGCTGCCAGATTTAGCAACGAAAGTATAGGATGCCCAGTGCCCAGTTACATTTGAATTTCAAATAAAGAAAAATTCCTTAGTATATATGTCCTATGAAATATTTAGAGAATAATTATACTGAAAAATCGTTATCTGAAAATCAAGTTTAACTGGAAGGCTGACCAGTTAGCTAAGTTGGTTAGAGCGCAGTGTTTATAAACACCAGGGTCAAGAGTGTGGATCCTCATACAGGCCAGCCATTAAAAAAAAAAAATTTAACGGGGCAGGCTGTATTTTACCTGGCAACCCCACTCCCCACCTCCCTTGCAGTGAGATGTGGTAATGTGACTGAGTTCTAGCCAGTGGGATGTAAGTGAAAGTGATGTGAATTTCTTCCAGGCTGGTCCATTACACCTTTCTGAAAGTAGAGGACTCCAAGGAGCCAAAGGGCAGTCACAAAATGGAAAAACTGGGTCACCAAATGATTGGGTAGAAATGGCCTCCTTCCCCAAACCTGCACTGGACTACAATATAAAGAAAAAAGGAACTTTTATTAAGCCACTGTGTTTTTGGAGTTATCTGTTTTTGGCAGCTGGCTGGTTAGGGGGTCCAAACCCATGACCTTAGTGTTATAAGGCTATGCTCTAACCAACTGAGCTAATTGGCCAGCCCAAGTTTTGGGAGTTATCATAGCAGTTAGCTTACCTTCAATAATATCCCTAATCCCTAAATTCAATAGCTTTTCTCATCTTTTCCTTAACATTAACAGCATAAGACCCTGGCAATCGCTTTCTTTTTGAAACTCTTTTTTCCCCCAATACTATGTTTCTGGTACTTGAATGATAATGATAATCGAAGTCACAATCGAATAGCTATCATTCATGAGTTTCTTACTATATGCCAGGCACTGTGCTACATGCTTTATCCTCATAACCACTCTATGTGGGACATGTTATCACCCCCATCTTACAGATGAGACAACAGGTTTAGAGGTTGAGTCACTTGCCCAAAATCTTACAGCCTCTCCCTCTTCTCTCTCCACACTCTTCCTTTTTAATAATCCATCCAATATCATGGCTGAAATAATTATGTCTGTGTGGATGGCTCCCTGACCCCTCTCCTTGACTCCAGTTCTATATTTCCTGGTACATGAATTTGCTGCTGGCATTGTAAACTCAACATGTCCAAAATGTAGCTATTCCTTTGTTATGACTATTCTAAACACTTTTCATGTGGTAACATTTAATTCCCACAACTACCCTATGAGATAGTATTATTCATATCTATGACTGTTTATACATGAGTAAACTGAGGCTTAGAGATTCACTATCTGGCTCTAGCTTCACAGCTAGTAAACAGTAGAGCTGGGCTTGGGGCTGATCAAAGCCTAGATCTCAATAATAACACCTCAACTCTGCTCAACCTGAGCTCTCCCAGTCCTGTTCCATTTCCTGCCTGCTATGCTCATTTTCTACCCTTAACTTTCAAGTCCTACCTATCTTTCAGTGTCCACTTCAAAGGGCCGCCCTGTGGCTCACTCGGGAGAGTGTGGTGCTGATAACACCAAGGCCATGGGTTCGGATCCCATATAGGGATGGCTGGTTCGCTCACTGGCTGAGCGTGGTGCTGACAACACCAAGCCAAGGGTTAAGGTCCCCTTACTGGTCATCTTTAAAAAAAAAAAAAAAAAAAAAGTCCACCTCAACTGCCATTTCTCCTTGAAGTCTTTCCAGGTATCCCAAGCTGGAAGGGATCTCTACCTTGTTTGAATTAACAAAACACTTGCTCTGTACTTACCTTATTCTAAGTGCACAAATAAGACTTTAATTCACCTTCATCATAAAAAGTTCAAGTAGAGAGACAGAGCAAGTTTAAGTGTCCTTTCACTCCCCAGAACTTATCCCTTTCTACCTTGTTTAATGTTTCTGTGTATCTGCTAGCAATTCTATTAGTTATTTGAAGACAGGAGGCATAGCTGCCATCTTTATTCCCATAGAATAGGTATTAATAAACAGTTGCTGCAACAATTTCAAATCCCTTGAGCCTGCATGTACTATATTTTTAGATGGTGAGAGAGCCTGTTCAAGAAAGAAAGTAACTTTTTTCCCCAGGGGGACTGGTAAAGACATGTCAAACACTCCCTCTCCTCCCACCTTCATTAGAACAAAAAAGCATCTACCTCTAGGTACATGAAGTGTCTGGTTTCTGTTTTAGCAGTGTCTTAGACGGAAATGACTTTTCTCTGAAATTGTAGATACCCAACCCAGCTGCAGCATTGTTATACCTCAGGGTAAACAGGAAGCTTCCTGCTTTGGGCCCTTCATGTCCCTCTCCCAGACTATCAAAGACTGTTAATAGGATGGTAAAAGGACAGCTGCCGGCCATAAAATCATTCCATCCCTTAGATCCTTAAAGAACAGCAACTAAATCTTCCTAAGGTCAGAGAGAAAACTATGTCCTTTTCCAGGCTGCACCAGGTGCATCCACCTAGCTGGTTCCTCAAGATAGAGGGTTTCTGGGCCTTGAAATCACTTGTTTCTGGGGTGATGAGATCTAGTGTGAAGGCTAAGCTGAGACTGCCAGAGCAGTGAAATCACACCGACCCTGTGGGGTTTGAGTCCCCTCTTCCAGTAGGGGAACAATCAATCCTGATTGTCCCCAAAAGGAGGCAGAGAAGAGAATTTGAGAGCAAAGAACCTCATGCTGCTACCTCAGCAATAAAGAGCTGAAACAGGACCCTAACTCCTCCTGCACACAGGGTGGAAGTCCCTGGATTTGCAGCTGTTGGCGAGGAAAGAAGGAGCAGTCTCTGCCAACTGGAGGGACACTAGGACAGGGGTGATCATCTTTTGCCAAGAAGGGCACTCGGTGTCTTGGCAGAAGGCAGAGGGCTGCCCCAATCTGTGTGTACATTTTCAGAAGCATTTGACTCTGAACCAAATTCTCTCAGCTGTGCTAGTGCTGTGGCAATGGATGGGAAATGCTTATTGGCCAGGCTGACCAGAAGCTCCAACAGAGGGTGCTGGGGCTCAGCCAAGAGCTTCCCTTCAGCTGGCAAGTTTAGCTTTCTGTCACGGTCAGAGGGAGTGTGTCAAAATTCCAACTCTCAGGGCTCTCCAGAAACTGCTTATGATTACCCATGTGTTTTAAAGAGTTTATGCTTCTTGGAATTTTTGGTTCAAATTGGAAATAAGGGAGGTAATGTAGAGCAGAACTCTTACCTGGATCAAGGAATGGGTAAAAATAACTCAACAGGGGTCAATGATCTTACTACCATAATAGTGACAGGCTCATAACCAAATGGGTCAGGAAGGAGGACAGATACCATTTCATTCAACCTTGGACTTACCTACAATTGATCAACTCATGCTGCCGCATTGGCCTCTCTGACCCAGGTCTACCAATCAAGCAAGCACAGGCACCTGAGCACAGCAGGAAGACCAGTTGCCACAAGTTAACTTACGCAGAACAACCAGCCTTATTCGCCAGGTGCCACTGTTTTCCTTCATTCAAAGAAAAGATCACTTAAATTATTCCTCAGAGTTGCACCCAGGGGTGGAAGAGGAATTTCTTCTAATTGCTGAAAACAGAACTGGAGATATTTTCTCCTAAAATCTCATGTTTAAGCCTCTACATAAATTTTGTTGTTTAAGGCAGCTCTTAAGATCTGAGATCTGATCAAGGGCTCAGATTCCCATACCGGCCAGCCACCGGAAAAAAAAAAAAAAAAAGATTTTACATCTGAAAGAGACAAGAGATTATATGGTTCACCATCTCCCTCCCAAGGAATAATATCATTTCCCCTAGTTTCAGAGGAGGTAACTAAGGCTCTGAAAACTCTCCCAAAGTCACACAGCTAGTAAATGGGGTTTTACTGAATGGACTAGAATCCAGGGCTCCTGCTGCATATTCCTTACACTGACTTTTTTCCCCCGAGTGATTTGTTTTTTGGTTTTTTTTAAAAAGATGACCGGTAAGGGGATCTTAACCCTTGACTTGGTGTTGTCAGCACCACACTCTCCATGTGAGCTAACCGGCCATCCCTATATAGGGATCCGAACCTGCGGCCTTGGTGTTATCAGCACCACACTCTCCCAAGTGAGCCACAGGCCAGCCCCAGTGATTTGTATTATTTTATTATTTTTTTTTTCCTTTTTGTCTTTTTTCGTGACCGGCAACGGATCGCAACCCTCAGTGTCACGCCCGGACCGGGACCGGCCACGGGATCGCAACCCTCGGCGTTGCTCTCGCCCCTCGCTCAGCCAGTGAGCGGCCGGTCTGCACGTGGGATCCGAACCCTCGGCGGGAGCGCCACCGCACTTCCCAAGCGGCGCACTATAGCAGTGCGCCACCGGGCCGGCCCGATTTGTATTATTTTTTAAAAAGGTAATTAATTGCATGTATAGCTGAAAGTCGTTTAATTTGCATATCTTTGTATTTTCATATAAATAAATGTACATATCATGAAAAAAATCATTGGAAACAATGTCCTATTTAGAAAAGATGGTCCCTACTTTACTACTGCCACTACACTGTTCAGGCCTGCACCATCCTGTGCTAGAGCCTTTGCTGAAATTTACATTTAAATAATTTACATTTTACGTGTGGGTCAGTGGTAGGTTTAAGACTGTCTCTGCTATGTTGGTTGACTCGCCAGATCCAGGTGTACTTAGACTTGGAACAAGATAATCTTCACTACTCTAAAAAATGGCCTAGGTAGGATCAGAAGAGGCTCTAGTGGCTCACACTTCACCCATTCCACCAGCCTTCAAAGAGACAGCGTAATGATCTCAGGGCAGTGCATGCAGTCCCAGTGTGTATTTTTGCTTTCAATCTCCTGGATTAAGTTGGCTTCCAGCCTGTCCCTTGAGATTCCAGGTCATGTCCAAGGCAGGAAGTTGCAATGTAGGATTAGTCCCAAGAGCCAATAAGCCAAGAAGTAGCCTAAAATGTATCGTGTGATTGTAGAACAGGTTTTCCAGTTGTACAGAAGTCCCATGATAGAATTTCTGGGGACCTTTTGTCTTGCTGGGGAGTCCCCTGCAAGAGGCTTCCAAGGCACAGTCTCTAGGGATCTCAACAGCGGCTCTTGATCTTGAAGCAAGTGAGCTGGAAACCAGTACACAATAGGAGTGGAGGAGCCCAAAAACCTGGTGAGGACCTAGAAATCATAAAAGGGGGAAAACCCACACATTTATTGGAATGTCACTGATTCAAATTGGACCAACGTGGGGGCTTCTCTGCTGCTGGGTAAACTATGGCCTCATGACTAGAAATGCATTACACTGGAAAAGATATTCAGCAGAGCACAGGATCTGCCTTATAAAGATGTGTGCAACACCAGCCAGGCAATCTCCATATTACAAATACACATAGCTACAGACTAATTACCACAATAATGAGCCAATTAATACTAAAATTTTATGGGTCTTAAATTTACCCCAGCACCTGGACTCTAAACTCTGGGCTGTGACTCCAGGCTTGGGAACCTGAGGTGGGTGCTTTATCCCATAGGGATAGCAAAGCAGAAGGAAAGGGGCAGGGGATCCTACGGCTCAACATTCTCCCTCCAAGAGGAGTTCAGAGACAAGTCTCCAAGTGCTCTCCCTCACCTAACCTGGAAACCCTAAGCTTTGCTGGCACTCACTCTGCTAGCTAATCCAGCTACAAACATGGAATGCTACTTTCTATTTCCCCTGTGCTTCTTATCCACACAGCTCAGAGAGCTTCATGAACAGCCAGTCTGCACTTCCAAGAGGCAGAAACTGCTAAGGAGAGGTCAGCATGGAGACAAACAGATTTCCTCAGGGTGGGGCCATAGCCAAGAAGAACAGAACAGACATAAGGTCAAACTCTTCCTGTCCCTCTCTATCACCACCACCATCCCAAACAGTGGACAAGATATCTCTTCTGAAAATTGGGCACCTGCCTCTGAAAATCACAGCACCTCCAAAAGTCACCACTCAAGAAGCCAACATTGGTATTACTGTATATTAGAAGAAACCAGAGATATCCCCTGTACTTATTCCTAAATCTCAGTGAAATCAGGTCCTTTCACAACCCCCACATCTTTGCACATGCCCTTCCATTTGCCTAAAATGTTCCTCCTCTGTTCTTTTATGGAAAATTCCTTCTTACTCTTCAGGACCCAGCTTAAATATGAGGCTTTTCTCAACTCCTCCAGTGAGTTAGCCACTTCTTCCTCTTCACTTCCACAATACTTAATCTGACATTTTTTTTTCCCCAAAATAGCAACCCCTCTTCCATCCCAGTATTATAACTTTATCTGTTAAACATCTTATCTCCCTATTTATACCATGAGACCCATGAGGGCAGCAATTTTATCTTACTCATGTTCCATTCTCAGAGGTTGGACCCAGGGTCTGGCATAAAGAAAAAACCCAAATTAGTTGTGGAATGAATTAGGTATGGGTCACTTAAATAGGACGTTAGCTGTCTTCCCTGTCCTTGGCCAAGGAGTTTTGCCCATATTCACATCCTTATCCCAGCCACAAATCCACCTCACCTGAACATGCATGCACAGACCTCCAAACAGCAGAAGCACTGCAGCATGGACCAGGTACACAAATACCTGAGGACTGAGGAATCCAGGATTGGGCTTCTCTAGAGTCTTATTGTCCTTGCTCCTTCGCAGCCCAAGTGTAAGGCAGAGCCAAGGGTGGGTGGTCACATATGTCCAAGTTGCCCAGGCAACCAATATAGCCACTGGTGCAGCCAGCAGAAAATTGGGCACCTGTCTGAACTCATAGTATCTCAAAAAGCCAACATTCCAGTAGACATCCTGGATATAGTTGTATATTAGGGGAAGGTCCCAGGAGCACCAAGGTGGCTCATTCCCCTCTGTGATTCGGTAGCCCTTGTCCACAGCTAACTGCACCAAGGGCTCAGGAATGGGGTGGGCTGAGCCTGGAAGACAGAATTGGCTATAGGCATAATACTGAAAGAGGGCAAAGGGAAGGCCAAGTGTGAGCACCGACAAGAACAGAGAGGCCATCAGCTTAAAGATCTGTCTCAGGGGATTCAGCACCATAAGAGAAGAGAAAAAGCCTCGGCACTGAGAGTGCATGAGGAAGCCAATGTTGACCAGCCCATTGGAGCGTACACCTGTGGCAAGGGCAAAGAGGAGTCCACTAGTCCAGCCTCGGCCCCTCTCCAGCTGCCCCATGGCGCTGAATGTCAGAAGGGCAAACAAAGCTTCTGAGTAACCAGCTGCCAGGAAGACATTGGCGGGGCTGAGGCAGAAGAGCAGTGCTGCATAAAAGGCTTGGCGGGGACAGTGCAAAACCATACAGCCCAGGTCATGAAGTGCGACTGCGGCCAGTACGAAGAACAAGGAATTGAGTGATGCTACTGAAATTAGCAGGCAACTCCGTAGGCTTAGTAACCCCCGCAAGGGTCTCAACAGTTCAGTCCCCACCAGCAGGGCCAAGGGGAAACCAGGGAAGAAGGCAAAGTTATGCTCATACACGTAGCCATGCTCGGCAATGAACAGGAAGTGTTCAGCATCCCAACGAGACAAGCCACCCAGAAGACATTCCACAAACTGGTCCATAGAGCCCAAGGGAGCCAGGCGAGGAGGAGAGAAGGCTTCGGCATGGTGATCTGGGATGACGGCATTGAAGAGGGCCTGTGGAGTAAGGAGAACCAGGACTTTGGTTGAATAACTGGAAGAAAAGAATTATCATTTAATAAAATGAGGAAGAACAGACTTGTTGGGGGGGATGAGGAGTTCAGTTTTGGGCTAGTTAAGTTTGACTTGTAAACTCTAGCGTACAAGTCAACTAGGCAGAGAGATATATGACTCTGTGGATCAGAAGAAAGATCAGTAGGGCTGGTCCATGGCTCACTTGGAAGAGTGTGGTGCTGATAACACCAAGGCCACAGGTTCAGATCCCTATATAGGGATGGCCAGTTAGCTCACTTGGGAGAGTGTCGTGCTGACAACACCAAGCCAAGGGTTGAGACCCCCTTACCGGCCATCTTTAAAAAAAAAAAAAAAAAAAGAAAGGGCCAGCCCAGTGGCGCACTGG